TAAGCAACAGGTCCTATTCGCTCCAGAATGCGGTAGGGTCCAATGAATCTAGGGCTAAGCTTCCCTTTCTTCCCGAACCGTAGGACCTTCTTCCAAGGTGAAACCTTCAAAAATACCATGTCACCAACATTGTACTCTATGTCTCGTCTCTTCAAGTCTGCATAAGATTTCTGTCTGTCCGAAGCAGTGCGGAGTCGGTCTCTGATCACACGAACCTTCTCCTCGGTTTCCTGCACAATATCTGGTCCCTCGAGCTTACGCTCGCTAAGCTCTGTCCAACAAATCAGGGTTCGGCACTTTCTGCCGTAAAGTGCCTCATAAGGAGCCATCTGAATACTCACCTGGTAACTGTTATTATAGGCAAACTCCATCAACGGCAAGTAACGCTCCCAGTCTTCTCCAAAGTCGATCACACAAGCTCGCATCATATCCTCGACAATCTGTATCACCCTCTCGGACTGGCCATCGGTCTGAGGGTGAAATGCCGTACTAAGGTTCAAAGCTGTGCCAAAAGCCTTCTGAAGTCCTCTCCAGAACATCGAAGTGAACCGGGGATCTCTATCAGATATGATTGACAGTGGTGCACCATGCAACCGAACTATCTCTCTAACGTATAAGTCTGCCAATTTGTCCAAGGAAGAGTCACGTCTGATGGGTAGAAAATGAGCGGACTTTGTCAATTTGTCAACAATGACCCAGATGGCGTCATTCTTTCGTGAAGATCGTGGCAATCCGATCACAAAGTCCATAGTGATCCTTTCCCACTTCCATTCCGGAATGGTAGGTGGGTGCAGCAACCCTGTCGGAACCTGGTGCTCAGCCTTGACTTGCTGACAAGTCAAACAGCGCGCAGTGAACTCGGAGATTTCCTTTTTCATAGCTGGCCACTAATAGGATTTCTTCAAATCCTGATACATCTTGTTACTACCCGGGTGCATAGTGTATACGGTTCCGTGAGCCTCGCGCAACAAGCGATCCCTCACTCCACCGCGGGGCACCACTAGGCGTTCACGATAGTACAAGACTCCGTCATCGCGAATTGAAAACTCGGGCCTCTTTCCTGCAGGAACTAACTCTCGAGTCTTCTGACAAAACTCATCATCTCTCTGTGCTGTACGGATCTCCTGCTCTAACGGAGACTGAAGCTGTAGCTTGGCTAACGATTTCCTGCTCAAAGCATCGGCCACGATGTTAGCCTTGCCCGGGTGATACTCAATGACTAAATCGTAATCCTTGATCAGCTCCAACCATCGACGTTGTCTAAGATTCAGTTCCTTCTAGGTGAGTAGGTACCTCAAACTCTTGTGGTCGGTGAAGATGTGAATCCTCTCTCCAAAAATGTAGTGGCGCCAAATCTTCAAGGCGAACACCACGGCTGCCAACTCTAAATCATGTGTCGGGTAGTTCTCCTCGTGAGTCTTTAACTGTCTCGATGCGTAGGCCACTACCTTACTCAACTGCATCAGTACACAACCTAAGCCGCTATGAGATGCATCACTATAGATGGTATACTCGATGCCAGGATTAGGTTGAATCAAGACTGGTGCCTGGGTCAGGCACTCCTTCAGTTGATCAAAACTGCGCTGGCACGCTTCTGTCCACTTAAATTTGATGTCCTTCCGCAGTAGCTTGTTCAATGGAGTAGCGATCGAGGCGAAGCCCTTAACAAATTGACGATAGTAACCGGCTAACCCAAGGAAGCTCCTCACCTCACGAACATTCCGCGGAGTCTTCCAGTCCACTATGGCTGAAATCTTGCTGGGGTCTACCTGGATACCGGTGGCAGAGATAACATGTCCTAAGAATGTCACCTCACTCAACCAGAATTCACACTTGGACAATTTTGCATACAGTTTGTGCTCTCTCAACACACTCAAAACCAATTGCAAATGTCTAGCATGCTCCTCCTGAGTCCGTGAATAAACCAAGATGTCATTGATGAGCACTACTACGAACTGGTCCAAGTATGGTCGGAACACACTGTTCATAAGCTCCATGAACACTACCGGGGCATTAGTCAATCCGAAAGGCATGACTGAGAACTCGTAATGCCCATAGCGTGTCCTAAAAGCAGTCTTCGGAATGTCTTCTCTCTTAACGGGAATCTGATGGTATCCAGAACGCAGATCAATCTTCGAGAATACTGTAGCCCCTCTGAGCTGGTCGAACAGGTCGTCGATGCGAGGCAACGGATAACGATTCTTCACTGTGGCTTTGTTCAACTACCTGTAGTCGATGCAAAGTCTCATGGATCCATCCTTCTTTCGAACAAATAACACCGCTGCTCCCCATGGGGAAACGCTAGGTCGGATGAATCCCTTTTCCAGTAGCTCTTGCAACTGAGCCTTCAACCCCTTCATCTCGGCAGGTGCTATACGATACGGTGTAGCAGATATGGGTTCCGTATCCGGAATGAGATTGATCGAGAACTCTACCTCTCTCGGCGGAGGCAAACCAGGTAGGTCTTCGGGAAAGACATCGGGGAAGTCGCAAACCGTACGGATGTCCTGCTGACGTGGTGATTCTTTTCGCATATCCTGAACGTGACACAGGAACATCTCACACTTCTTGCGAATCAAGCGCCTCGCGCTCAAGGATGATATGAACTCGGGAGCCTTGGGGAACACCTTCCCGGAGAGTGATACGTCGCTACCGTCCTCGGCTCTCAGCCGTACGGTCCGACAACTGCAGTTGACCACTGCTCTATGCTCGGTGAGCCAATCCATACCAAGGATAATGTCAAACTCCTTGTGTGGTAGCTCTATCAAATCTGCAGCGAATTGCTTCCCTTGCACGGACAACGGACACCTATGATAAATGTGATGAAGACGCATGCTATGTCCTAGCGGATTTGATACAACAGTAGGTATGTCAAGGTCACTCCTCACAATCGCAGAATTAGCAGGCATGCCAACACAGATATAGGAGAGCGTAGAACCCGGATCGATCAAGGCATGCATAACCGAATCAAATAGTATGAACGTACCCAAGATAACATCGGGACTAGGATCTGTGCGCCCCTGCATGGCGTAGGTACGCGCTGGTGCCCGGCCTGACTGCTGCGGACGTGGTCTCTGCTGATTATTTGCTGCTGTAGACTGCTGACTCCGTGCTGGATGTGATGTGGCAGGCTGATCCGGAGCTCTAGGAAAAACAGGCTCGCTGCTAGGGTTTGTCGGGCAATGCCTCCTGAAATGCCCAGGCTGGCCACAACCCAAACATAAGCCTTGGGCGAGCCAACACTCGCCCGGGTGATGCCTACCACACTGTACACACTGCGGGTGGCTCCTCGTTCTAATCGAGTTGCTAGCGGCGGCCGACGGAGACGGCCTTGACTTACTCCTCTTAGGCGGCGGCGCACTCGAAGAACCCTTCTCGTACCTCTTTCCCCCGAATCCAAAACTCTTCCCGCTCGGCCCGGTGCTGGCCGCGGGTCGCGGGTCTTTCGTCGCTCGATCCTCCTTCTTGGTTGCCTGTAGATTGTCCAAGCTCTTTTCCGTCTTCACAATCAAATCATACGCCGCATTAAAATCTGTCTTCGTGATCAGCGCGGCGTACGGCCTCAAGTCCGGCCGTAGCTTCTTGACGAACTCATTCAAACGATCCTCTGGAGTGGAGACCAGACTCGTCGCATACTGGGACAGGTAGTCGAACTTCTGTCTCAGTTCAGTCAGTGACATCCCCTCCTGCTTAAGCGCAACGAACTCATCGCGCCTCTCCTCGCGGTACCGGGTGGGGACGTACTCCTTCGTGAAGGCTCGATCAAAGCGATCCCAGGTCCAAGGCTTGGGCGTGTGTGGATCCTGGTTAATGCGCTTCCACCAATCATATGCTCCCTTCCGGAACATCTGTGACGCCAACTCCGAGCGATCAGCATCTGGGACTCTCAAATTCTTGAGTACCCGGTCCATCTGCTCAAGCCAATCCAATGCAATCTGGGGCTCCCCCATCTTGTCTCCTCAAAACTCTTCCGCTCCATTATCCTTCAACGTCTTAAAAGTAACGATGCGCGGCTGCGGCTGTGGTGGTGGCGGTGGCTGGAACATGGGCATAAGCTGCGCCATGTGCTGCATATAATGGGCCATCATGGCCGGGGACATCTGGTCGTAGGCCACCTACGGCATCACTGGAGGTGGTACGACTGGCGGTGGTACAGCTGGTGGTTGTCCCGCTGGCTCAGGTTGATTCTGCTGTTGCCCTCCGTCACCCGGAGGCGTGAAACTCGAACCCTCGGTGTTCAGCGTGTGCACGCTCACGTGCTCCCGCTCCGGAACGTACTGACCATGGGTCGATTCTTGACACATTCTAAAATAATAAGGAAATTCCCAAGTCAGATCTTAACATATAACAGATAAAGCTATATATACTTATTACCTTCCCGGGGGCAGAGGAGTTACGTGAGATGCAGATGAGGCTGAATTATTCATTGTATTTTATTTTGAAAGGGTCCAAATACCGATTTTAAAACCAAATGCTCCGATACCAAAATGTAACACCCCAACCCGCATAACCCAAACCCGTGAGACAGCGGACCGGTGTGCCACTGGATTGGTATCCGAATATACAACATTTTCAAAAACAATTTTATACAAACGTTCTATCAATACATATAAAAATCCATCGGAGTAATTTAAAATAATGCGGAAGCCTTTTTAAAGTCAAACAACTTGGGATCTTGCCCGAAAACGTAATAAGCATTAAAGTTAATTAAATAAAGCATAATCAACAGATTAAAGAGACAGCCACGCCATCGTACATCTCCTCCTCAATGCCCTCTGGGATCGGCTCTAGGTTCATCTGTCTGATCACCTACGGACAGCAAAAAGGAAAACAACGCTATCCGCTCAGCATTGACGCTGAGTGGCACTCCATTGTAGCACAAGAATAAACATAATAATTCAATGATTAGATCGTGCATATGTTTATCCTTTTAATAAAAATCAATTCAACTTTACGTTCGGTTCTTTAGACGGTTGACCAACAGTCAACTTATTTTCTTTCTTTTCAAAATGATTTAGGTGTTACGGGTTTCTCATTAACTCTTTGACCACCGGTCAAACCAATTTAGACTTTCACCAAAGTCAAACCACTTAACATTTAATGCCTATGACG